AAGTTGTCAGGTCCTATTCAGCAAGGGAAGCTCCAGCACATAATGAGCCCTCACATGTTCCCCCGTCTGTATTCAAGTTTCCTGCTCAGGCTCTTTCAAATTATAAATCTAGACAGACTTATGATTTGAAACAGCCTGTGTAGAAATTTTGAATATGGGCGGGGCTCCTAGCTAAACTTCCTTTTCTGATTCGATGAAATTGTTCCTTCAATCCCTCAAAGCTTTTCCTAACGACTAGCTTTACACCTGATGGTGCACCGTGTCGTTTTTACTGAGGGGTGATTAGGCGGTCTTTCAACGATACGATGAATCGATAGTCCTGCAAGGATTGAGGGGTGTATCAAAAATGGTTAGGGTGTCGGCTAAGCGAACTGTGGATGACGGCATCTAACAAATTGGGAACGTGTACGGCTCAGCTGTATCAAAGCTGTATAAGCGCGATGGCTAGCTGGAGTTTTTGTCTCCTCCTTTTCACATACAGTGATGAAGACTTCCACCACTTACAAATGAGTCTAGTCTCCGGGTCTCGGGAGATGGTGAAGACGTCGCATGCGCTCCGCTTGAACCTGCTCTGGAGCTCAGCGGTAGGAACCGTCTTTCAGAATCATCTCGTATCGAATTTCATACTCAAGAAAAAAGCACGAAATGGAACAATTTCTCCAAGTTAGTCTAGCACATATAATACGTTTAATATTTTCCTGGGGTATAACGCGCACCTCGTGCAAGTACGACAGCCGTTCAAGTATTCTCGGTAGCGGGTAATTAAGCAATGACGGAGGAATTCGAATCATTTCGATGAGTTACCGTACTCTCTGAGGGTGTAAACAAAGAACTTCATTTACACTGTAGTTCGCTACGGACGGTGGGGCGTCTCAGCCAGAATGAGTGTGCCTCGCAACAAAGCCGTTCTCTGCCTTGTAGTTGAAAAGCGCACTTGCGACATAGAGTGGGTAGAATAATACGAAAATAATACGGAACGATATCGCATACAGCATTAGTCATCTTGCTCGCTCCAACAACCTGGTGGAAAACGATGTTTGGACGCCCACACCCAGCCGACTGACACGCCCAACCGTGCAAGAGAACTACACTTAAAGTCATCATCAACTGATGTGTTTATCCTTGTGTGAATGAAGGACAGAATGACCTTGATGCGACAATTTGGTAGAAAGGATTACTGAATTAAAAAAATTGAGAAAAACGATAAGAAAATTGAGTGAATGATCAGTGATTACTTCTTGTTCTCCAGCCTAAGAAAAAGAACTTTGTGGAAAGCGTTTTTCCGACGATGAAGAGCTGAAGGCGGCAATTAACGCAATTTTGATACGAGTAAGGAAAATTTTCTTAGAGGGTATTGAAGAGTTAGTTTCCCGAGCACGGACAGACAAGTGTACTGAGGTTAGAGGAGACCACACTGAAAAAAATTTTATTCAGAATTTTCTGCCTATCTTTCATACCTACACCGAGAACACACTGAACAATCTTCGTGCGTACAAACCGATGAGCAGAACGACAAACTTACAAACCTACAACCAGAAACGCTAAAGCGATGACTTATGTGATCCTTCAGCATTACTATCTACTTCAAGACTGTCAATATAACACTGCTAGCAGGAGTGCTCCACGCTGCACCCGACACAGACTCGCGTTCACTAATAAGTTGCACAATATGTAAGCATGTGTAAAACTGAAGTTTCTGCTTCGGCAAGCAGTAGAAGCAACAAGAGGGCAGACCGTCATTGTCAACACCTTTTCCCCATCGTTCCACTATTTGGCGGGTCTTTTCGTGGAACCATCTGGTTTTTTCGGGTCGAAAAACTCTTGACAGACTTCTCCAACTTCTTCGCATTACTCGAGCGCTCAGCAAGTGTTCCGTGATTGAGACTCAAATTGTTTTGGCACACGCGTTCTTGGGACCGTCCGGTTGAACGAAACGGCATTGGTAGAGAAGCAGAACATAGAAAATTGCAACGGAAAAGGGTCAGGACTTGTGAAACCCTGAAATGTGCGCCAAAATAAGCGGAGTAGAATCGCATACGAACTCTTTTGACTTCAGTGAGGCTCTTGAGGGTCCCCTTAGCTAATATAGCACATCTCGCATTTACGCGCCGAACTTGGTGCGAAAAGGGGTTGAAAAACAGAAGTGTACAGGCTAGCTGTTGACCGGTATAAAAAGCAGAGCAAACCATCGAGAACACCATGAATAAGGCTCTACTTATTCAGAGCCAGAGGTGGAAATACCTTGGGATTCCATGCAAGAGATCATTTCTGGTTTGCGGATTATGGGGCGTGCAAGAAAGGATTGGGTTTGGCCGCAGCGCCTTCCTTTCTCGAGTGATGGCTTGCCGAACTCCGCCTCACTGACGTGCCCCATCGTCCGCAGCGAACAACACTGTACATCGGTAGAGTCAAATGGCCAGAAAACGCACGCCATTCCTGAGCGCAGACGATCAAAGGAGATACTCAAAAGAAGTTACTTGAACAACCTTGGGTTTTAACGTCCATGCTTTACAGATCTCTAGGGCAAACTGGTACAAGTTTTTTAGTTGACACCTACGAATCCACACGATACTTCGGTTCTTAAAGGCAAGAGTGCCTCCCAGAATAACTGTACACTAACCTCCGAAAATTGTCCTTTCTATGTGCGAGATTAATGGGTCCGCTGCTGCAGTGGTATGCCACCCTCACATTGAATGGGAACGTGGCTGGAAGGTTGTGATCCACGAGAGCCGTCTCCATACTTCACGCTTGCAATCTTCAACGTGCAGTGTTCGCATTAATACTAAGATCCCACAGAGAAACACGTGCTTAGCGACAGAGAACAATCAGAAGTGAGATTGCCCCGACAAGTAGCGCATTTTGCTATGCCTAGCGTGCTGTTGGCGGTGTGGCAGCGCGGAAAAGTATGGGGACGACCCGGGCATCACTACACTTCAGCCCTATTGCCGTGCACATTTGACCCGAGTAAGTGTTATACCACTACAGCTGCGGACTCAACCACCTTCCACAGGCCAAAGTCCGAGAAGATGAGCGTGTAGCTTGTCTTCGTAGCGCACAATCCTTTACCGAGCACCACAGATAGAATACAATCACAGATACTATCAGAGCTACGGGTTTGTTCCTTTAGAAGCCATATAGGGGATAGATGGCACAACCAGTTTATTACTTTCTTGACTACAGCCAACCATGCTCCTTGACTCTTCGCCTTGTGAACAGAAAGCTCTTCCCCTCCCTCTTGCTTTCCGTGTAGTTAATCTGGAAACCCTCCTTCACGCCGTGAGACGAGAGGAGCGACTCATAGAACTAGATCTTGTCAGCGCCACTCAGCTTTGGAAATGTCATTCCTCTTGGTGTGCTCGGACTACGCAAGTGAGGGACAGTCATCATTTTGCGTCGCATGCTCTGAAACGTAAATCATGAAAATTGATTACGCTCATGGGTCACAACTGCTGCGCAGGTAAAGAGAAGGGCACCCGTCATTTTAATTTCTTCATTTGCCAAGGTTCAATGGAATATATGCGGCCTGTTGTTTGTCGTTTTGGTTCGACGGGGGGCATTTTGTATTATCATTGCTTCCCTAGTTCCGGTTTACAAATCTCACTCTGGTAAAACTTGTGAACTCTTGTGAAGCTGAAGTAAGATCGTCTAGCCACTATCCTAAAACGTGTCAACTCGAGAAACGGCTGCCTAGATGGGTCGACACATCTATGGAAAGCAAAATGCTCCCCACCCCCCGTCCCCCCCGTCGCAAACTGCTGCATATGAAATGCGATGCGATGCGATGTGTATGTGCGCTAGCAAACGCTTTATCAACCCGTCAAAAGCACGCTCCATCTCACGTTTAGATGCTTTGATTGGACAAGGTAGTCCAGTCCGAAGGTGAGAGGATGCACAGTTCCACCACTCAGAAATACGTGAGGAAAAGGCGACCTGCTGTCAATGAAGCCAGTGTCCTGCCCACGAGCCACTGCAATGCCCACCTTTTGTATGGAAGCGCTTTCTGGTAATGCGATTGTTGCGCTACTACCGCTTCCTTTCGAATGGGGAAACTGACTTGCTAAGGAGAAACACTGACACCAATGTATGAAAACACTTCTAACGACGCCTTTTCTTCGCGTTATACGGACGGATGCGGTTCAGCATCGACTTCTACATATATTAACCACTGTTTTCTCTGTTTTTCCTTCTTCGCTTTTGTGTCGTTCGTCGCCTTGTCATCGGTATTTGAGCAGCACAACCTACCACAACTGAGCGCCGGGCATGCCTTCAGAATCAATAGGTTCAGACGGCTATTTGCGACAAAGTTTACACTAATCTACGGGTTTCTAGAACGTCAGCCTGTGCCTGTTCGTGGAATTCGCGAAGCCATTCTTGAGCGGACTTAGGAAGAATTCCTTCACCTTCGATTTGAAGGTACCCTGCTGCTGAGATATATTAAATGCGATGTGACTTATACGATGACCTGCGGGGCCGACCGATGTGCAAGTCATTGTTCCTGTCCTCCCAGACAAGTCTGTACCAAAAGTCCCCGGAGGAAAGAATGCTTGGTTGGCTTGCGGGAGTCGACCCGGGCTCTGACTCTCGGATCGCGCGATTGGTAAGCGTGCAACTTGCTACTACACTCCTCCGCTGAAATGGTATAGTCCACCAAAACACCTCTGACTGTGGGTAGCGTGTATGCAAGGAGCGTATACTAAAGACACCTTAAATGAAAATATTGTTTCCGCATTCTATGTGGGAACCGCTGCTACGGGGAGTAAGTTTAAGATGGAAAGTTGGAAAGTTGAGAAGTTGGAAATATCAGCGTCCAAGGGAGGACATGGTAAACATCATCCCTCAAATGACGACTTCAATATGTGATTTTTCCCTGGTTGGACCTCTCACTTCTGAACGTTTCTGGAAACTGTCTGTTAGAAAATCTAAATTAGGAAGGTACTACGTCAACTGCTAGGAAGTACGCTCTCCTCGAATCAAAATGAAGTGGTCGTATCTGCTATGATATGGCCACTTCGGAAATTATCGAAGAATGGGATGAGTTTCAGGGTGGTTATTTCATAGATCATCTCGACGGTCGACGGTTCGTTGGAATGAACCTAACGGTGAGCGAGCAACATCTATGTACAGCTTGAAGTGTCAAGCAATATCAATGAACTTCAGGCCAATACTACTACATTCGCTTACCTTCTCTACATTCTAACAGCAGTACTAAGTTTGGTAGCAAAATGTTCGAAGACAAATGGGGCTAATGCAGCACCGGCTGCTTCGGATTCCACGACACGGGAGAGCAGCAGTGCATCCAGGAAGCGACACCATGCTCACAAGAAGGGGAATCAGAAGAGCTCCAGAGCTGTGGAATCAAACGAGTTAAAAGGTACTCCTAAAAAGAAAGCAGAAACTCCTGTTGAAGAAAAGGAGGAACCTCCAGTAAAAAGTCCGATGAAGGCAACTCCCGTCAAAGCAAAGCAAGCCGAGAAGGTGGAGGCTGCGAGAAAAGATGAAGCGAAGAGCGTTGCCAGACCTCTTGGAAAGGAAGGCGGTGACGGTGCGATGACCGCTGCTGACGCTGCCACTGATTTCATCGATGCCCCAGCAAACAAGCCTGTCTCCATGATTTTGAGTGAGTTTTGTTCATGGGCGTTTTAGTTCTCCTTAACAATTGAAGATCCCTGGAGGATGTTCTGAATTCTCCAATGATAGATTCCATTTGTGCGCACTCAATTAAAGCCAACATACGAAGGTTCGACAGGAAAGTTGTGTGTGGCGAAGCTTGAGAGTAGAAAGCTCCCTTCCAGAAGGGGCGACTCGCGATAGATTATTGCTATCAATTCAAGTTAGCACTGCCGTTTAACCTCGAACCTACTTGCATTGAATGAAGGTTTTAGAAAATGAAAATTGTCAAAATGTGATAGGATAACGATACGGGTTGCATGATGCAGCGCTTGCACTCCAACCTCTAAGGCTTCGACCATACTTTCAGCGACCTCTACCACAGTGTGCCAGCGTCCACCAGCGTCTAACCAGCGCCATCCAGGGCCACAAGAAGTGTAGTACCGAACCTCGACTCAGCCGAGTCTACCAGCTTTACCAGCGATCATCAGCGACCGAAAGTAAGATACAGTGGAATAGGAGGGTAGCAAATAGCTCTGGATAATGCGCGTCGAAAATGCGTGGAAGCAACCACACGGCTAACAGATGCACAAAGGTTTTGGTTTTTCGGTGCCACCGCACACCACTGCCCCGCTCTACCCCCACTTGTGGGGCCTGCAGCACCGATCAATTGTCAGTGCGCCAATATCCACGCTGCTTGCTGTCACTCCTATCTTCCCCATACCGACTCATCACTCACAGTCGCTGTGGACACGCTGAAGACCGCGGCCAGACGCTAAAGTCAGATAGCTATACAGTGCCGACTTGCAGCGCTGGAGCGGACAGCAACAGGAAAGCCTAGTGATCGACTGGGGGTGCTGCATGCAAGTATTGAATCCCCAGTATGACAGACCCAGCTACAGCGCTACCTAATAGGGCACATTATTGGTTGGGGATTCTGGTCACGTCCGTACAACCCCACCCTTTCTAGGGAGTGGTCTGATACCACGCATCCAACTTCCCGTAAGTCCGCTCTGATACGCAACAAAGCGAAGCTGTGAGCGGCAGGAGGGTAATACTCGAAAAAACTTTGCCTCAGAAGCAGATACTATACCCTCTCCTTGCCAACAACGAACAAATACGAGTCCCCAGTCCCTTAAAAAGTCCGTTAAACAAAGAATACGAACTCATCGAAAAATTTTTTTCTAGACCCATAAACACTCCCCCTCTCCCCACGACTTAATCACCAACCGCACTGCAACTAGTCTGCATCCCACATTAAATTGCATAGTTCTGAGCTTTAGCACTTTGCTGCGGGGGCCACGCCGCAATTTCAGGACGCCTAGTCTACCTGCTTGCTGCACTCCTACTTCCCCACACTCTCCACTCACGGTCGCTAGTGGGCGCTGATAGACGCTGGCAGACGCTAGATCGATATCTATAGTCACTGATGCTGCCGGACGCCAGGAACGCTAGTGATCGCTGGTGGGTGCTGCAGCAAAGTATGAACCCAGTATTGACAGACCCAGCTACAGCGCTACCTAATAGGGCACATTATTGGTTGGGAATTCTGGTCACGTCCGTACAACCCCCACCCTTTCTAGGGAGTGGTGTGATACCCCATCCTCTCCGTAGTCCCCTCTGATACGAGCGAGCTGTCGAGCGGGCAGGAGGGGAGAATATCGAAACTTTCCTCAGAAGGCAGATACAACCCTCTCTCTTCCAACAACGAGCAAATACGATCCCCTCCCTTAAAAAGTCCGTGAAACAAGGAGAATGAACCATCGAAAATTTTTTTTCTCAGACCATACGACCTCCCTCTCCCCAGCGACTAAACACAAACCACCCCCGTTGGAGAACCTCTAACGATGATGTGCCCCGCTATTTAATCCTCAACTGCCAAAACCATAAATTTCAAGGACGCAGTAAACATCTGTCTAACTCCTTCCGATTAAATTTCTTTTTTAGATGAACCTGCACCAGGAAGTGATCCTGTAAGTCCAGCTATGGCAGATTCTGTCCAAATTTTAAATTGTTCAAGAACAACTGTATTAGCAGTCATTCAAATTGATCAGCGGTGGACATCATGGAGAGTTTATTCTTCTTTCAGGGCGACGGTAACTATGAGGACGTGAACTTGGTCGAAGCTGCGGCACCAGAGGCTGAGGCAAAGTAAGTGCTAAGACTCACAGGTGTCGCTCTGCTCTTAGTAATTGCTTTTTATTTAGGAGTCTACTTACAGTGGAACCAGCGAAGTCGACGTTCTCAGCAGCAGGTGGAAAGGCTACTCACACACTTCTGAATGCCGGCGATACCCGGGTGGTATTCAAAGTGAAATGCTCAAACAATAAGGACTACCGTATCAAGCCAGTGTATGGCTTCGTCGAGCCGATAGGCAGTCATCTGGTCTTCGTTGTTCGCCTGGCAGGACCAGTCAAGGATGACAAAATGGTGATACAATTTGGCTTATCACCGCCGGATATATCTGTTCCTGTAGTCGCCTTCAAGAAGCTGCCACCCAATAGTCTACAACAACTTACAATACCATTCACTGTGGTCCCTGGAGCAGCTGGTGCGACTGCGCCTGCACCTGGGGCTCCTGCTTCGCCAACGACTCCATCACCTTCTCCATCACCTTCGCCCAACTCGAAGCCCACTCCCCCCAAACCTCCGGCTGCGGTTCCTGCAGCTCCAAAACCTGCTGTAGTTCGCGTCGCCGGCTCCGTTCCATCACCCACTACAGCGAAACCTGCAGCTACAACCAAGGCGCCGGCGCCTGCTACTTCTCCTCCTCCTCCGAAGAAATGAGTTAGGGCGAGCCTAATTATTGAATATGCACCGTAATCTTACTATTATAGCCATGTTGAAAAACGAAATTTTGGCAAAATTTATCCGTATACGTAAAATCTTAATAAAGCATCTAGGCGAGTGATTGATTGTTTATTTGTTGATCAACTGATCTACCACGATCGCCCAGATGTCGCCGGGCACTCCTCCTCATTGTGAGCCTGGCCTGGCTTCGCCGGGCACGCCTGGCTTAGCCAGGTCACATCTTGGGCAAGTTAGAATGTAAATAATGTGCCAAATGATCCTAGTACGATTGCAAACGCAAATGAGGGAAGAAAGGTTGGAAACAACACCACATAAAACTACACATCAATCCCTTTTCGCTTCTTGTCTTTCAACCGTGAACCTCTTGAGAAGGCTACACCCTTCAATTGTGGCCTGTGTTAAGACTCGAAAAAGGGTCTAGTTGAAGTGGCGCAGACGCGTAGTTCTTGCTAATGTTTTGCTATAATGTCTTACTATCGAAAGACGCCCAACTGTGGATCCCTGAGCTTCAGAATAAACGAACTGAACGCCGCTCCTTTCATTCCATTACACAGGGAACGTAAGGCTCACAGTCGACAACACATTTTCGCTCTGAGCTCTTCACACCATTCCTTTTTTAGGATCGAATGCGAGAAAACCTCTACTATACTTGTTTGGAACACTGCAGAAGTGCACTTAGCTTCTTCAAAATTTGTTGATTTTTCCTGACTAAGATCCTTAAATACAGCTCCCACGATAAAAGTGTCATGGATAGCTGTTCAATTATGAAACAGTAGCTGATAAGTAATTCCCCAAAGAAGAAAAAAGCAAGAAGAGTCCTCAAGAACACCATAAACAAAATCGCTCCCTGACAGTCACACCTCCCTGCGGTCTCTGTGCAACCCCTGGCTCACAAATCCCTTTATCACATCTCCCAGTAGTGGATATCATCCAATGCAAAGAAAAGAATACGAAAAACAAAAACACGGAAGAAAAACTCTTGAAAAGGAAAAGAAACTTTCAAAAACTCGGCGTCCGAATATAGGGTTACGGTAGGTGCATCACTTGGTGTAGTGTAGTGCATGTCGAGCTTTTGCAACCCAGTATCACTTGTGATTTTTACGCGTTTTACCTTGCGAGATGGGTTGGAGTTGACTGTATGTGCTCCTAATGAATAAAATGTAATAAAGGAGAGCAGAATTATTCATGGGCACGAGCGCGGTCAGCAAAAAGGACATGCAATTCCGATTAATGCCCGCCGCCCCAACAAAGAACAACTGAGCGGCCCTCCGTCAGAGGGCATCTAGCAAGTGGGCGGGCGTTAGAACTAGAACTTTCAGCGGCTGTAGCTCGCTCCTCGCTCGCTGTGGAGTCGCGAGAGTGGGACAGTCTCTAGCTTGGGGCTGTACTACTTGCACAAAAAAGGACGACCATGTACTACTCGAGTGCGGGGGCTGTCTTTAAATGCTTCTCGTTAGCAGCGAGATCCGACTTTACGCATAAGTGCAAATAGCTTCAGCGGCATACTTCGATTCCCTTGACATCGCTGAACCTTTTAATAAAAGAACGGGCTAACAGCTGACCTTCTTTCTTGTAATAATCAATTTACGAAAGGCAGTAGTACAGAGAAGATAGCCTCTTATCTATTCCTATCAGTCAATGTTAGGCTGCGTTTATACTTTGCAGCAGCGTAGCGTAGCGCTTCCAGTTTCTCGAGCGTTTCTCCCAGCGGCACCAGCGTTTTGCTAGCGCTTGCAGCGGCAGGGAGTAGAGACTATGTGGCCGTGAGAGACGCGGAATCGACGTGTATTGTAGAGACCATGTGGCCGTCAGAGACGCGAATCGATGTGTATTGTAGAGACTATGTGGCCGTCAGAGACGCGGAATCGACGTGTATTGTAGAGACTATGTGGCCGTCAGAGACGCGGAATCGATGTGTATTGTAGAGACTATGTGGCCGTCGGAGACGCAGAAGCGATGTGCATTGTAGAGACTAAGGGCGAGTGAGAGACGCGCAATCGATGTGTTTTGTACCCTCCAGCTCTCCCATAGTCTCTACTCCCCTGCCGCTGCAAACGCTAGCAAAACGCTGGTGAAACGCTGGAGAAACGCTGGTGACGCTGGGAAGCTAGATCGATATGCATCCTCTCCCCGGCACTGCCGCTGGCGTACGCTGGAAGCGCTACGCTACGCTGCCGCAAAGTATAAACGCAGCCTTATTAATTGTCACCTGTCACCTGTCATCTAGCCCTTGCCACCGAATCTTCATTATTTGCCAGTGTGGAAGTCCTACCTCAAACAGCGACGATGGTGACAATGCCTCTATCATTCCCTATCAGTTGTTATCCCTCTCCAGTTCAACATTATTGTTTTCGTCTCATACCCTACATCGCCAGCTGAGAAGTGACTTCAAAAAGTTGTGCGACCGCGCGCATGGTGATGGCGATCTTCCTCCTTTAAGGTATCTTATCGTATCTTATCCGCTGTGATGACGTTTTGTCACACATCAATAGAACTCCCGCCTATCCCCTATATCATCTTCTGGAAGTGACTCTTTACAGTAGCTGCGACCCGCACTAGAGTTTGGCGACTCCCCACTTCCAGAGCCAACAAAGCATTTTGCGGACGGACATGCTCACAGACAGGCCGACAAACAGACCTACAAGTCGAGATACCAAGCCAGTTTCATAGAAGAGAAAGAATGACAAGATATTGAAATTTCTGATTTTCATACGGTGTAGTGCTGAATGATGTATTTGGACTCTTTTCCATCTCTTGAAGTCCTCGTTTTTGAAGAAAACCACGGTTGCCCAAAGAACGGGTACATTTCGTTTGACGAACGGGTGGGCGGAAAGTACTGGCCCCGTTACGGTTGTTGTAGTAGGTGCGAAATTCGAAATTAATAGTGCATTCAGGGTATCGCTTTGACACCTCTTTTATTGTGGAGCTGCACTGGCACCTCAATATCCTCATCCCGCTGCTGTGCTGCGGTGCCATGGCGAGATTAGAGTTCCTCGCGCTCACTCCCAATCCTCGTACATTCTTTCCCTTCCTTCTCTGTCACTGCTTAAATGACCTAGGCCAGGGTCGGGCCTAAGAACTTTAGGAGTGAAGGCGTAAAGCTGCAATTAACCACCCTGCTATTGTCGCCTGAAGAAAAATTGTTAATCCTGATGGTGGTCACTATCATGGGCTCATCGGAGTGATTTTCCTCGTTTTCTAGTGCGATTTACCTTGAGTGGGGTGCTCTATCAACCGCATTTTCGTATTCAACCGACCACCACCTACTTGAGCTTCTTCTTCCACAACAGCTGTATTCTCCTTTCTATCGAAGAAGATGTCGCTCTAGTTATTAATTACTGTCACTCTTGAGGATTAAAAATATCATTTTATTAAAGAGTCTCAATAAAAACAGAATCAACTACGATGCAGATCATAACTCTAGGCAAGTATCATGGTCGGAATCGCCCGTTGAGATGTCCTCATCAAAGCACAGAGCGGGTTATGTGCAAGCTGTGTGGCAATGTTCTCTTCAGTACGGTTGTCTTTCCAGGCAGTGTTTGAGCGTGTGTCTAAAAGCGGTTAAATTCAGATGAAGATCAATCGACGTGTTTAACGTAAGAAGGTTTGACGTACTGAATAGGATATGGATTAGCTACAGCCTGCCACGATTCTCGCTCGTCAAACTGCCAATAGCCCTGCCTAACCTGAACATACACATCTTCATTCCAAACTCTGCGGAAACAAGAAAATTTTGCTCAGCTGTATGTTGTCGTTTAATTCTTACAAAGCTCCAGGTAGAGCACAACAGCTTGTGAGCTCGCAAAAGACGTACAAATACCTCGCAATCGTTTACCTCCGGTACTGGCTCTCGGTAGGCAGATTCGAACAGTCGTTGCTCAGTGATGTCTGTCTCCGGGTCATGGTATGTCGTTGTGGTGGTCGTCACAGTCTTCCTTCAATGAAACGACCAATAAAACTAGAACCATTACGAAAAAACCCCGAAGAACGGGTCAACTAACGCATCCCTAGTGAGGTAAATAGGGCAGAAGCGGACTCTGTTTATATAGTCACCACTTTCTAGACCAAATTCACCACCTTTCAAAACAAATCCACCACACTTTCTAGGCCGGGCAATTCGTCAACCAGATCGAGAGCGTTCGGGTCACGATTACTTGTTCGAGACTGTGAAATTTTTCCTGTGGAAACCCTCCGCAAGGTTGATATACCACTTTATTCGACTTACGCAGGCTTCGGCGAAACCGCCTTCATCAGAGGCTGAAAGGATCAAAACGATGAAATTCGACCCAAAACAGGTCATCACCCAATCACGGGGGAGAGCACTTACCGTGACCCATTTCGATCCTCGGGACCTGTTTACGGTTACCTGTTCACGGTCACGAGTGTATACTGCCTTGGAAGCCAACATATT